CCAGTGTCCTTAATAAAAGGGGAAATTTGGATCCAGACCGGCACAGGGGAGATGTGAAGATGTGAAGGCAGAGATCAGGGTGATGCTTCTATAAGACACAGAACGCCAAACATGGCCAGTCAACCGTCAGAAGCTAGGGGAGAAGCATGGACCAGATTCTTCCTTACGGTCCTCGGAAGGAACCAACCCAGCCGACACCTTCATCTTGGACTTCTAGCCTCCAGCTATGTGAGAGAATACATCTTGCTGTTTAAGCCACTCAGTGTGGGAACTTTGTTAAAGCCACCCTAGCAAATTAATACAAGTGATCAGCGGTTGCCATTTTGGACAGTCCAGTGTTAGCTCATTTAATCCTCTGGACACGTTCTGAGGTCAGGTCTATTGTTATCCTCACTTATGGACAAAATCTAAAGCCAAGGAGGCTCTCAAGGCCTCACAGCCAGTGAGCAGCAAAGCCAGGATTGGAACCCAGGCAGCTGGTGCTGGGCTGGTTGCTAACCCTTCTGCCTGCCGAGCTCCACGGTTCCAGGTCACTCTTTAAGTCCCTGTCTTTCCCGCACAGGGAAGATGTCCTCCGCTGACCCTGTACCACACCACCACCTCCTCAAACTTCAGCTGATGCTGGGCATGGAGGACTTTTGCTCTACCCATCTGGGCACCAGACAGATGACTCCCTCTTCCGTGATGGGCCCAACTCCTCCCACTTTACAAAACATGACTCATTCCCTAGGTCCCTCCGACCTGTGGGCTGAGAATGATGGTGCTGTCATGGTATGTAACCCTAATCCCACACCTCCCCGCCCACTCACAGCAGTGCCTCTCCCTCTCACCTTCCAGGTGCTCCTCAAACTCCTGGCATCTCTCAGTGGCTGCAGGTGCCCTGCTTGTAGTCTGAATTCACACTTGTAACCTGTCAACTGAAGGAAACCCCATAATCTGAACAGCACCTCCGTTGTTGGGGTGGGATCAGGCTTTGCAGGAGCCCCTGCCCACTCTGCCCTCACATCTTGGCTCAGTCAGCCCCATCCTACAGATGGCCGAGCAGATGCCAATGGATGTCTCTCCAAAAGCATAGGACTTGCCTTGGGTTGCCCTAGGTGCAGGGGTTGGGAGAGAGAATCTGCCGGACACGCATGCCCACGGCAGGGTGGCTACATGCTTGGGCCCGCCTGGGAAATGGAGATTAGGTTCTAGGGCAGCCAGGGGAGGGCTTCCTTAGCTCCCCTACCATCTCAGGGCGACTGCAGGGAAAGGCAGGGCCTTGTGTGACCACATCACCCCATCCTCTGCTCCCCAGGAAAGGAGATGGCCACAAGGGCCTGTGCGAGAGAGCGGTGAGCAAGGGGAGCCTGACCACCTACCCAAAGATCTGGGACCAGGGAAGGAGGTGGGTTAGGGGTCTGGGGTCATGTTTGGACTCCTATCTTTCTTCCTCTACAAAAGCCAGGAGGTTCTTGGCCTTCCCAGACCACAGATGACCAAGAGGGGAGTGTATAGAGCTATCTCTCTCCCCTTGCTGCTCTCTCCTACCACAGGGCCTTTGCACATGCCACCCCCCAACTTGAACACTCTTCTCTTCCTTCCTCTTCCTGTACTGCCTTGTTAGTGCCTTCTCACCTCCTCTGATCCCCCAGTTAAATGCTCAAACAGACCCCTACTCCTCTTTGGCAGAGTATTGTTCTCATTAGACATGGCTTTTTTATTTTAATCCTTTTTAAAAATTTCTTTGGGGAGGGTAGGTAATTAAGTTTATTTATTTATTTTCAGTGGAGGTACTGGGGATTGAACCCAGGACCTCATGCATACTAAGTACACACTCTACCACTGAGCTATCCCCTCCCTTAGACATGGCTTGGTTTGACTGCCTTAACTGCCAGCCCCAGGAAGTCCCGGGCCATATTTGCTGCTCACCGTTGTACCCATGTGCCCATTTCACATGTGCCAGACTGAGCTTCAGAGGCTGGTGAGAGCCAGAGCCAGAATTTGAACTCTTATTTGTCTGCACTCAATGCCTGTATCCTTAACCACCACCTGTCCCAGAAGATGTTCTGGGTGAGGTGATGGCCCAAAGAAGCTCACAGAGGTGAGAGGGAAGAGAGCTGTTTCAAGACTAGGTCAGGTCATGAAGAAACTTCAGACCTTTCTGGGGGCTTGGAGCTATGCCCTATCAGAGTGGGGAGCCTTTGAAGCTTTTAGAGGAAGAGACCAATGTGATTACCTCTGCCAGGAAGATAATCTTGGCCAGGTGTGGAGAGTGACCTGGAGACAGCAGATATTCAGAGCTGGGAAACCGGTCAGGATGCTGTTGCATAAATTCATGATGGAGGTGGGAGGGCAGCATGGAGGAGCAAAGTGAGCAGGGGCAGGTCAGAGCCTCACCTCCATCCCAACCAGAGCTGTGTCGCAGACTTGCTTGGAGATTACTGAGGATCTGGATGTTGCTCGGTGCCTGGCCCGTGGGAGTCATGTTCTACTTGTAAATTACACATTCATTACACCTGATGGTTTTGAGCACTTCAAATCCCATGACTAGAAAATGCAGAAATCCAGGGAATCCAAAAACTTACTACAATTTTACTTAAGCTTGTTCCTAAACATCCCATCTGAAATTAATTTGTTTATTGATCATTTTGATGCTTGTTTTCATACCTTCCTATGATGTAGCCACAGGGTTACAGTCGTATACTTTGACATCCTTGAATTTCAGTATCAGTTTTTTACTATTTTGTTGGAATTTTAATCTGAACAGACCGAAATGAAAAAGGTAACTTTTTATTAGGTATTTTTTGGTGTCACAGCTCTGAGTTATTGACCAGTTAACTCTGGATTGGGCCACATGGATGTGGGAAGGAGGGGCTTCTCAGGTGATTAAAGCCTGAGCTGACGGTTCTCAGGCTGAATTTACTGTTTATATTTAAACATCCTTTGTTACCTCGATCAGACATCGGAAGTTCATGCCTTTTATGCAGGACTTGTTTGTTTACAACTTAAAATGAACTTTCCTTCTTCTTAAATTTCTTTTTGTGCTTTCCTGTTTTTAGGAATCCTTGGTCTGATTTGTTTCTTTAATATCCTGCCTCCTTGGTGGGGCTTTTTGTCCAGATCCTGTTGCTTCCAGAACTTCACAGGCTGCAGAGATACAGGAGGAGCTGGAGACCCCTCCGGCCCAAGCCTCTGCAGGGACCCAGGACACCAGGCCAGGCCTCTCTGCCTGCAACCACTGGGGGCCTCCCAGAGTATCCCTGGGCTCCACCAGAGCTAGGGATGGGGACAGGAGAGAGATGGAAGGAAATGTGGGTCCAACATGGATGAGGCAGGAGAGACTCAGAGAGGAAAGGTTAAGGCCCGCACTCTGCAGCCGCCTCTCCCTGAATCCTTCCACCTGCTCCCTATGCTCCATTCCCCACAAGCCTCCCTCAAAGCTCTGCAAAGCGGGAGTCAGATTTCACTCCCCAACTTCCAGTCCCGCTTACTCAAAAAGCCAGATTCTCCAGGTGGCCTGCAGGGCCTGGGGTGGGCCCACGACTCATTCAGCCTCATCTCTCCATACTCACAATGGCCTCTAGTGATCCTCATCCCACGGTATTTGCACCCTCATTTAGTCCCCCTCCCACGCTGAGCAGAGCTGACCTGTGTGACTAGGTGACGGGAACCTGACGTACAAGGCTTGGTCATAAAGACGTTACCACCTCCTCCTTGCTCTCTGGGATCACTTGCTCTGAGGAAGCCAGCTGCCATGTTGGAAGGACACTCAAACTGTCCTCTGGGGTGGCCGCTGTGAGGAGGAACTGAGGCCTCCTGCCAACAGCCAGCGCTGACTTGCCAGATACATGAGACGTCTCGGGAGCAGATCCTCCAGCCCCAGTCAAGCATCAGATGACTGCCGCTGTGGCTGATGGCTTGTCTGGAACCTAATGAGAGACAATGAGCCAGAACCAGCCCACTAAGCCCCTCCATAATTCCTGACCACAGAAACTGGGAGATAGTGTTTGTGGTTGTTTAATTTGTGACACAAGAGATAACCCTAATACACTCCTCTTTTGTGTCCTTGACCTTCATCCCACTCTACTGTTTATCCTTCCCTCGGGGCGGAGTAGGAGAAAGGAATCATCAGCACTGGGCTGGATGGAAGGGACATCCTGGATGTTCTCCCAGGACCGAGGGCCAAGCGGGGAGAGATCTGGGCAGAGGGTTTCCACAGTGCCCCATGCCATCAGGGGACTGGCTGGACTCCTTCAGGCCTATGGATCTCGCTTGCCCTTAGGAAAGGGGACATCTGAGAAGGGGGAGCCCACCAGTGCTGGGGGAGCACAGGCCTGGGTCAAGTCATGCCAGCTCCCTTTCCCCTCTGGGAAATGGGATAGTTGTGAGCCCCCCACACAAAGCTTCAGAGAGGATGAAATGTGGCTTAAATGAGATCTGTGACCTGATTCTTCCCTCACATCTGTAGGGGCAGGGAGGGCCTCTCTTCAGGGCCCTGATTTCCATCCTCAGGGAGCCTCCAGACCAGTTCAGCTGGGAGGGTAAGCAACATGGAGTGGAGGCTCAGAGAGGTTGAGCAATTTGCCCAGCGTCACACAGTCAGCAAGTGGCAGAGTTGGGAGGCAAATCATGTATCTGGTCCAGGGCCCATCATCCAGGCCTGAGTGACAGCTAGCCTGACCCCAGCCTGGAAGAGGATGCTCAACCAGACAATCCTTAGGAGTGTAGCAGGTGCCCAGCCCATCCTGAAGTGTCTGAGGGCTGAGGGCACTCCTGTGTAAATATCACTGACCGTGGGCGACAGCCAGCCTTCAGTACTGATGAATCTGGACAAGGAGTCAGCAGTCCCGGCGTGGCCTTGCCTGAGTCACTTCCCCTCTCTCTGGGTCTCGGTCTCCCCAGCCTCCAAATGGGGGCTCAGAGGACTAGCTCTGGGCCCCTCACCCTAAGTGAGCTGAGAACCTTTGTCCTCAGGAACACGAGGGAGTGTTTCGCCCTGGGCTAAGCATTGAATTAATCCTGACATGATACTCCTGGCATCCTCATTCCCCAGATGAGAGAACTGAGGATAGAACTGGTGATGGGATTTGCTCATCCAAGATCTGAACCCAATTCTTGACCCTAGTTTTCTTACAAGAGGACTCATTCCTGGCACGTGGGGGAATATGCCCTCTTCCAGATGCAGGACCCTTGGAGAGCAGGAACAGAGGCCTCCGTGGCCCAGTCACGCCCTCCCTGCTATAGACGTGTGTGACTCTCCCTGGAGCCCACGCCTGCAGTGTTCAACCATGAGGGAAAGGCCCTATGGACCTCATGAAGAGCTCACAGGCTTGAAAGGAAAACATGGCTGCTCCTGCCTCCCCCGGGTCACAGCTAAGGTCGTGACCTGACTTCGCTCTCTGGGCCAGCCACCCTCACCTGCACTGCCTGGTACGGTAGCCATGTGACCAGTCTGAACTGAGATCCGCTGTGAGTATGAGATACATACCGGCAGGATTCCAAAGACTTAGTACAAAGAAACCTCAGTGATAATTTTAATATTGATTATATCTGAAATGATAATTTCGCTCTATTGGTTTAAAGAAAATATTAAAATTAACTTCACTTATTTCTTTTCACTTTTTTCAGTGGGGCTACTGGAAATTTTTAAATGACACACATGGCTCGCATTTGTGGTTCGTGTTATGTCTCTGTCCAATAGCGCTGGTGTAGACGCTGGCCACTATGACCCTGAGAGCTGGGAAGAGACCCAGAGGTTCAGAGCTCAGAGGGACCTCAGGGGACTTGGGGGCTTCATCTCCTGGGGCAGAAGGTGAAATTGGCTAGTATAAGGCTCTCTCCCCCCACTCACCGGGGCCAGCGTCCTCTCCTGCGATGGGCTCAGGCCACTCAGTTCTGTCTACTCACACTGCCCATGGTGACAGAGATGGGGTCCAGCTCTCTGGTCCTGGGTACAGGGCCCACTTTGGCTCCCTCCAGGTCGCCTGTCTTTAGCCCAGCTGGCAGGGCTTCTAGTCCCTACTTTCGGGCAACTGGCAGAGGGGAGGGAGGTCTATTCCTTTCTGGGTGTCTAAGGCACTGGCCCCTGGTCTGGCTGCTCTGGATTCAAATCCTCATCTGTAAAATGAGGGCAGTGATGCTTGCCCCACTGCATACTGAAAGTGACACCGCCTACTGTCACATACAGAGGCCGCTCTCCACCCTGCCCCTCAGTCCCCCACTGTCTGCACCTGTGGTGCCATCAGATGCCTCGCTGAGTCAAGAAGGCCAAACTCACCCCTAGCAGAGGCTGCATGCACAGGACCTGCATACAATAGGTACTTGTCTGAGACTGCCGTGCAAAGAGTTTGTCCCGGAGGTGATCCCAGGGAACAAAAGTAGGGGAGTAAGGAAGTGAGACAGAGGGGAGGAGGCAGCTGTACAGGAAGGTAATCAAGGAAGGAAGAGCCTGATCCCAATGTGCATAATGGGAGACAGTGTGAAACACGAGCCTCAGAGTCCCACCCGAGGCCAGAGGGTCTTTAGACACCAGCTCCACGCAGTCTTTGCTTGAGGGCTGCTCCAGGGGCTGTCAGTTCTGCTGGTCTTGTGGCCTGCTGGGCATCTGGCTCTGGAGGCTGGAGGAAGGGTTGACGGATACAGGAAGGGGACATGGGCAGGGGACCCAGGCAGGGCATCAGCAGCCTCGACTAATCTAGGATCATGGGTTGGGCTTCATGCCCGATTCTCAGCCAAAGGCTTCCCTGCTCTGCGAGCCCCTGACTGTTCCTCCCTGGAGCTTGGAAAAGAGAAGCAGAGGGCCTGAAAACCCAGGCCCCGCCCTGGAGGAGCCTCACAGAACAGCAGATCTCCAGTTCTGGCCCTGGATGAGGAGAGCTGAGATGGGGAGCCCGGAGGTCCTATGGTAGCCTGGGGACTGGGCTGTCAGGGAAGGATGCCTGAAGCAGGCGGCAGAGCTTGCTTTGAAAACACTTAGCAGTGTTAGTTACAGTAGAGGGAACAGCAGATGCGAAGCCCCAGAGGGGTGCAGCTCCATGGCTTCTCCCCAAGGGCAACGGGGGCCATGGAGGGCCAGAGCAGAGGAAGACCTCTGGCTGCAGGTGGAGGGTGAGTCCTATGGGCAAACCCAGGAGAGGGAGTTGAGAAGGGGTCCAGGTTGAAGGCAGAGGCCTGACCCAGGAGAGTGTGTTAGTGTCCTGGGGCTGCTGTAAGGAAGTACCACGAACTAGGTGGCTTAAAACAACAGAAGTTTATTCTCTCACAGTTCTGTAAGCCAGAAGTCTGAGGTCAAGGTGTCAGCAGTGCCACGTTCCCTCTGAAGCTCTGGGTAGAATCCTTCATTGCCTCTTAGCTTCTGGAGGTGGCTATCTCCCTGGGCATTCCTTGGCTAGCAACTGCATCACGCCAGCCTCTGCCTGTCTTCACGTGGCATTGTCCCTGCGTGTCGTCTGCGACTTCACGTGCCATTTCCACGTCTTATCAGGGCACCAGCCATATTGGATTAGGGCCCATCCCAATGACCTCATCTTCACTTGATTATATGTACAAAGACCCTATATCCAAATAATATCAGTCATAGGGAATTGGGGGTTAGGACATCAACATTATCTTTTTAGGGAATACAATTTCACCCATAACAGAGAACACATGGTTTCACTGAATTTCTCCCAGGGGGCAGCCTTGATCCCTGCCCTGGCTTTCAGGAGTCAGGCCTACAGATGCCTGGTCACAGTGGGTGCCCCTAGCCCCCTCTGGCCCGGAATGTCAGAACTGGGCAAGACTAAACTTGGTACCATGGCCCCCTCTGTTGTCCAGGTGTAGAAAGAGCAGTCTGGTTCCTGAAAGCTACACCTGCAGGGCCCCTTGGAGACCTCACACTTTTTCAGCCATGGAAGAGCCCTCAGTCCTGAAGATCTAGAGGCCGAGAGCACCAGCCTTGGCATCTGACTGACCTAGGTTTGCATCCTGCTTCTATGGTCACCTGGCTGGGTGACCCTGGACTGGTTGCTCTGCCTCTCTGTGCCTCCTGGGGAAAGCAGAGGGAATTGTGCAAGCCCCCACATGGCACAGGACTGGGCACAGAGTGGTTGCTCAATACCTGGCAATGACTCATTATCAAAATATTAATTACATTAATAAATAAGTTAATAACTATAACGCTTTTAAAACAAACCAGGCAGACAGTAAATGCTAATGAAGTCATTTATATTCTTGGCATCTACTAACTGCCAGAGTTGTTCCTGGATTCCTAAGGGCCTAGGAGTGCCAATATTAATAATAATAAATAATGTAATATGTATAATATATTAATGGCATTTCTAGACCCTTCAGGGTCTAAAGAAATAGAATTAGGGGGTTCCACAAACCCAGGATGATATCATATTGCACTAATTCATGTCTCTCTTTGATTAATAAAAGGGAGGAGAATTATGTAATAAATGCGAGTCACATCTTTTCCTGAAAATAGTCTTAGCTATTGTCAATTTTATTTATTTATTTTTGCTTATTTCTCTCCAAGGGTGTGCTTATTTCTTGCCACAAAGAATATTATGAGGGTGCAGGCAGTGGTCCTGGGGGTTGGTGGGGTCAAATCTGTCCCAGACTGACCAACCATCCTGGTTGCACAGGACTGGGGAATTTCTTGGGATGTGGGAACTTTCAGTGCTAAAACCAGGACTGTCCCAGGAAACTGGCACAGTTGGTCACCCTAACTCCTTCCCACCCTGCTTGGACCAGAAGCTCACTCCCAGAAGGAAGACTGACTCAAGCCCAGGGAGGGCTTAAGAGCTAACTGATCTGGCTTTGAATTCTGACTCTGGCACTAATTAGCTGTGTGACGTTGAGTAGGTCACTTAATCTCTCTGAGCTTTGGTCTGTAAAGCTGGGATGTTGGAGCCTGGCACAAATAGGTCTTCCATAAAGAACCTCCCAGCTGTGGTTTCTGTCTTTCCCATCTGGCTGCTGACCCGAGAGTCCTGTGCCCTAGGAAAGGCCTCTATCCCCCTGAGAAAGCTGAGGGCGGCAGGTGGTTAGAGCTGACGTATCCCCACTCTGGTTGATCATACCTGACATGCCTTGGTTGCTCTCTGGACATGAGCTCCAGGAGGGCCTGGACCAACTTGCTGACTGCCGTATGCTCAAGGCTGAGGGGCACAACAGACATCTAGTGAATACCAAATATTTTTGGGGTTAATTAAACTGGACCCCAGGGTAGAAGGGGAAACCCAGGACCTAGGTAGGGCTAGAGAGCAAGCAGGTGGTGAGGCAGCCTGGAGTGGTCAGTAGGAGAGAGGGGGCAGCCAGGGATGGGGTGAACAAGCACTGGAGATGGAAGGGGTGTGGAGTTCTGAGGAGATGGCTTAGTACTGGGTCTGACACATCCTGCAGTGTGACCACAACAATCCCTTTCTGCTCTCAGAATATCCCTTCCCACATGTGTAATGTGGGATGGTACTTGTGCCTACCTCAGAGGGTTATTGTGATGATTAAGAGATTGCACAAGGAACCCTCAGCCTGGGCCCAGGGCCTGCTGCTCAGTGCTCCTCCAACTGCTCCCCACCTCCGTGTGTGTGTGTGTGTGTGTCTCTCTTTCACACACACACACACACACACACACAAACACACACACACACACACACCATCTTTCAGGTCTTGGGAGCTCATGGGAGCCCTTCAACTACACGGGCTTCAGCAGGTGACAGATGCCAGTCCACTGGGCTTCGTCTCACAGACACACTCACAGAGGTACCGCCATGCTCCCTGGGGGGGGGTCCCCCAATCCCCAGCAGTCACCCCCCAGAGCCCCGCCAGTCAGCACCACTGAGGCTGATTAACAAAAACACATTAAATTCTTTTACTTTTGAAGTCTCCCCTTTAAGGGGAGACAGGAAATAGAACATTCTTTTTCAGAGGGAAAGGAATGTAATTTAAAAAAAAACTACAACTAGTCAAATACTGATCTCAGGCCCTGTGCGGTGGGCCCAGACCTGGCAGCAGCCCCATCTCACCCCAGGGGCTGGGGTGGCACCAGGAGGGCCGCGGCGGAGGCCAGAGGAACCCTGCCTGGCCCTCCTCAGCGGGCGGGACGTCACCACTGCAGAAAGTCCCGGATGACCTTCCAGAGCTTGGTGACCCACAGGTTGACGCCCAGGTCCGTCAGGTACTGGATCTCGGGCGTGAGCATGCGCCGACAGAGCTGCGCGTGCCGCCGCCCGATGCTCTTCTTGAGGTTGTAGCCCAGGATGGACTTGGCGCCCAGCGGCTGCCAGGGCTGCATGGCCGCGTCCTGGATGGCGGTGGCGTCCACCGCGTCGCCGCCGTCGATGCAGATGCGACGCATGCGCTCATTGGCGCGCCGCAGGGCGGCTACCTCGCGGGCCATGCGCTCCCGCCCGAACGCCTCCACCTTGCGCCAGAAGCTGGCGTTGAAGTGGCGGTAGAGGCGGGCGTCCAGCTCGTTCCAGGCCGTGGCGCGGCGGTACAGCTCGCCCGAGAGGCGCGGCACGGCCGAGGCGCGGCGGGCGTTGAGCTTGAAGTAGAGCACGTCCTCCAGCTCCCAGCACAGCAAGTCCTTGAGCAGCACCAGCGACTCGTCGAAATACTCCTGCAGGAGCACCAGGTGGAAGCGGCGCTCCACCTCCAGGATGTGCTCCTGCACCTGCGGGCTGCTGGGGTCCAGGTCGCTGTCGTAGCCCAGGTCGAAGAAGAGCAGGTTGCGGAGGTAGTGAGCGTTGTAGCCGTGGGGGTCGTAGTAGCGGTCGGGGTCCTGCAGGAACTCGGCCAGCTTGTCTTGGCCCGAGAGCTTCCACGTGAAGGGCACCACGGAGCCGAAGTAGTGGAAGGAGGACTCGAAGAGGCGGGCGGGGTCGCGGAGCACCGTGATGAAGGTGGCGTTGGGCGGCACCAGGCCCCGAACCTCGTCGTAGTGGAAGCGCATGTGGTTGCAGATGATGTTGAAGCAGGCGCCGGGCCGGTAGTCCTGCACCAGGCTGCGCGCGAAGAAGGCCGGGTAGTCGAAGTCGTTGCGGCCGTTGGGGAAGGCGAACTTGAGCCCGTGCTTCTGGCCGAAGCGGAAGAGGATGTTGAGCAGCGTGCTGCTGGCCGTCTTGTGCGTCTTCATGAACACGATGTCCCGCCGCGGCTGGCAGCCCCGAGCCGAGCCATTGGCCGAGGTCACAGGCTCGGGCTCACTTGGAGCGGGGGAACAGGGTGCTGCGCCCTCGGAGGTCCTGCTGGGAATAGAGTGGTGGTAGAGCCTCAGGACTCCGCCCCCTGGGCCCTGGGGTCTAGAGAGCAGGGCTGCAGGGGATGGTGGTGGGGATCAGACTGGCCAGGGTTCAGGTTGCAAGACATAGGCAGGCAGTTTGGCCTCTCTGGCCTCACTTTCCTCATCTGTGAAATGGGGATAATAGCAGGCCCTATATGTGGTGTTGCTGAGAGAACAATAACAGGTCTCATTCACGGCCACTATGATACACATTTATCATTAAGTAGCATTAGATGGGACCCCATGAAACTCTGCAGGCCAAAAATGGTCCATTATTAGCAATTTCTTCTAGTTCAACTTAATACCTCCAACTAAGGGCCCAGGCTGTGCCAGGCCTGAGCTGAGCAGCCCTGTGGGGAGGTGGGGTGGCCTCATGGTTAGGAGCCAGGCTTGGAGGCAGACAGACCCCAGTTTGAATCCAGGCCTTGTGCCAGCTCAGTGCTCTTGGACAAGTCACCTCCACCTCCCGGCCCCACTGGAGCCTCAGAGGATGACTCTGAGCCCTGTGTACAGATAGTGTTGATTCTCATGCTTGATGATAGGTCCTCAGGTGAGGACACTGAGGCCGGGCATTTCACGGTGAGTTCTGCCCTGGCACAGCCTCATGTAGGGCACAGCTGGGGGCTGCCCAGGAGGTGATCATCGGGGTGGGAGTCACCCTTCCCCCACCCTTCCCCCACCCCCCGACACCCAGCAGGGCCACTCACGTGGAGGCCAGGCCGGTGTGCAGCGGGGGCACGGCGTAGGAGTACAGCAGCAGCAGGAAGCTGGTGAAGAGTGCTCCCAGCACCAGCCCCTTGGCCATCGACTCCCAGCGCTTCTTCTGCAGCAGCATCTCAGACACCTACGGGGGAAACACAGCATCAGGAAGCCGGCCCCAGGGAGCCCCCACCGCCATCCTAGGCCTGGCTGGGTTGAGAGGCAGCCTTCCACACTGGGAACCTGCCTTTGCCTGCAGGGTCCAGACAGAGACAGAGAGATAAACGCACAAAGAGACGCTGGGTTGCCGATGGACATGGTGGCCAAGGCCAACGCAGAGAGAGGTTAGGGGGTGCGGCAGGGAGAAGGTTCTGCTGCCTGGCTCAGGTTTTTGGTTTGGTTTGGTTTGGTTTTTTGCTGCCTGGTTCGGTTTTCATTGTGAAGCTGACAGGTGTTCCTTAGTTAATTTTTTATAGCTTTTGGGGCTTCATACCAAAATCATCTAAATAGGCAAAGAAGACCCTTTCCCAGGGCTCTGTCCCTCCAGGCCTGAAGCCAGGATTGTCTACAGGGAGGGGCCTGGGCCCTGAATACCTCACCTTTCAGAAGGCCCAGCCAGCCCACCTGTCCCCTTCGCCACCCTTCCCAGCTGCCCAGTGTGGGGGTCGAGGCTCCTCATCTCTTTTCACTGGCCCCAGTGCCCATGGGGGCTGTAGGGGAGCCAGATGGGGAAACTGAGGCTCAGAGTGAGGAAGGAGGGGGCTCAGATCACACAGCAGTCAGGTCTCCGCCCACACACCCACTTGTTCTCCAGTTGCCGGTAGGCTGGGTTAACTAGGAAAATCTGAATTTCATATAAACAACAAATAAAAATCTTTTTAGTTCAAGTGCTTCCCAAATATCATATGGGATATACTTACATTAAAAATTATTCAATGTCAATCTGAAAATCAAGTTTAACTGGCTATCCTGCTTTGTTGTTTGTTTTTAGTTTTCGGGGTAGGTTTTGGGTCCATCCTGTCAGCAGGGGACTGAGGCATGAGCTATAATGGGGCCAGTTCAGGCTGAGCGACGGGGTCCAGGAGAGAGCTGGGGCCCGGGGGCCTTGTCCCCTTAGCTGCCAGGCCACAGCGAAAACTTTCCACTCCTGTTCTGGCATATGTTGCACTGGGCCCTGGGCCTCTGAGGCCATGAGAGGTCATGTCTGCTGCCCCGTGATCACACGCATGGCATGTTGCCACTGTCCCTGCAGCCAGGGGCCAGCCAGCCAGCCTGGAGGAGGACCCCAAGTACTTCCCCCTGGAAAAGTGACTGGAAGCACCCACAAACCTTTCCCAGAGAAAGGGCACTCCGGGCCTCCTTGACCAGTCCCTGAGACCTCCGCTTACCATCTAGAATTTCTCCTCACAGGAAAAGATGTGAAGAAGCAATCTGCAGAGGAAGAAACTATACGAGAGGGAATTTTGGCTTCCCTGGTGACAATGACGTATCTCTGCTCGCTCCTAAGTGGCCAAGGTGGACAGGGTCGGGGTGGACGAGAGTGTTTCCACAAGGCAATCCTATCCAAGGAGGAAGGTACAAGGTCTCCCAATTCCAACTATTCCACAGAAATACTTGGGCATAGTCACCCATGCTTTCGTGTTCATGGCAGCTTGATCAGAAATAGAAAAAAAGAAACAGTCCCCCCCCAAAAACAACCAGCCTGAGCATCCATCCGCTGGGGACAGTCATACAAAGCAAGGCCCATCCTCAGATGGAGCCATCTGTACCCAATGGAAACAAACAAGGTGGACCTGAGTGGACTGGCTCAAAAACACACTATGCTCTATTTTTTTTAAAATGTTTAATTTTTAAGAGGGAAGTAATTAGGTTTTTAATTTATTTTTATTTTAATAGAGGTACTGGGGATTGAACTCAGTACCTCGTGTATACTAAGCATGCACTCTACCGCTGAGCTATACCCTCCCCGCACCATGCTGTATTGTGAAAAAAGAAAGTTCCGGACACGGTGCCCCTAAATCCATATATGCAATAAGTAAATATGCATAGGCCCACAAAGAAACAACTGGAGGGACGTGTTCTGAGTTTTAACAGTGAGGAAGGAGTACACAAGGGAATATTTTTCTACATTATGCATTTCTGTAAGGGTTGCATTTTTTTTTAAGGAGCCTGTATTTTTAATCAGGAAAAGGCAATAAAATGCATTTAATATATTTAAGTAATAGATCATAAAGCTTGTGAGGTGGGGAAAGTCAGCTAGTGACGGTCTGATCACGGAGAGGGCCCAGGAGAGGGAGGTGCCGGCCTGGAAGCCCCAGGCCTGTGTTTCAGTCACAGGAACCCCTTGGAGCCTCAGTTTCTCATCTATAAAATGAGACAGCTGGTAGCCCTCTCCACTGGCTCTTCTCAAGATGGGGCAGGCAAAGTGACTAGCACATAGTTTTTGCTCAAACTGTGGGGACCTGCTGCGGGTTCCTGTCTTTGTCGCCCTCAGAGTGGGCCCCCTTGAACAGAGTATGTCCACCTCCACCCCCACCACTACCACCAAGCACAAACCTGCCCCTGCCTCCAGTGCCCCCATCAGCCTCCTGTTCCCCAGGGTCCTCTCTAAAGCAGGGCAGAGCCTTGGGCTAGGCCAGAGCCTCAGACTTGGGCCCAAACCCGGGCCGGGCCTCAGTTTCTCTGATTTTAAAGTGGGGAAGGATTGAGATTCCTGCCCTCTGAAGATCCCCAGGGCCCACCCCACCCCAAGAGCCCCACTCACCAGGGCACTTTCCAGAACTATGGGAGGCTGCTGGCAAAGGCTCTGGGTGGAGGTCGGGCAGCAGGGGGCAGACCAGCCTCCTAGAACCACCAATCAGGCTCTGCCTGGCCCCGCCCAGCATACCCCCCCACCCCTAACCCCACCCCCGGGCCGCCAATCACTGCTTCATTCATTTGTTCATTCCCCTACACTGGCTTCCTCAAACCCAGCCAAGGGGGAGGGCATAGCTCAGAGGCAGAGTATGTCTTACCACACATGAGGCCCTGGGTTCAATCCCCAGTACCTCCCCATCCCACTCCCCTGCAAAAAAACCCAGCCAGGCCCTGCCAGGTGCCAGACCCTGGGCCATCCCACCCTCTGGTTTCACTTTTGAGCCCCTGCTACAAGCCAGGTCCTGGGATGGGGGTGTCTCCAGAGCATCCTATTGACCCCACTCAGCTATCCTGGGAGGCGGACCCCACTGTCACCCTCATTTTGCAGATGGAGAAACCGAGGCTCTGGGAAATGACGTGACTTGTCCAGGGTCGCAAGGCAGGGGGCAGGGCTGGGATTTGAGCCCAGGACTGTCGGCCTCCAATGTGCAGGCTCCCACTTGTCCACGGCAACCTCTGCCTGGTGTGTCCCAGGACCAGCCCAAGCCCATTGGGAAGGAGGGTGTGTGCAGCTGGACAGTCCATCACAGAAGGCTGAGGTTTGCCAGCAGGTGACGGCCCCAGGACTAAGGCCATGGGGTACTGAGGACAATCTCAGCCAAGCCTGAGCATCCTCCAGTCTGGAAGACGGCGCAGCAGGGAGGCTGAGGCTCAGAGAGGGCAGAACCACCATCAAGGTCACAAAGCACAGCAGTAGCAAAGATAGGATTAGAACCTGAGTCTCCTTCCTCTGCCTATGGTGATGACAGTCCCAGGCACTCGGGGCAGATGGTCCCGCTCCCTAGCCCACTCCATTTACTTCTGTCCTCTGAGTGCCCCCAGACACGTCACCCTCCATCTGTGCTGACAGCTGGCTCCAGGCCAGGCCCAGCAACGCTCCTGTTTGGCTGGACCAGCAGCCTCCAAGGAATGAAGGAGAAACAGGACTCACCCCCCACCGCGTGCACACAGGGAAACTGAGCACAGGACAGTGACCCTTCTGGGCTACAGCATCACCACCAGGCAGGCCTGATTCCCGGGTGTCCTGCTCCCCCAGGGACCCAGCAGAGGAAGACACACTCACCTTGGGCCGTGGCTGGCTGCCCCTTCCCTCTCCCTGCCTGAGCCACGTCTGACTCCCAAGGCTGCCTCTGTGGTCACTGGGAAACAGGAACGCTCCAATGACACCCAGCAGTGTGCTGGCCGGCTCCCTCATGCTCCAGTGGGTGTGAATATTCATGAGTTCCCTCCCCTGGGATAGCAGGTGGCATGTGCCTGTACCCTGCAGGTGCTGCCCTGGCTCTCTGCCCCCTAGGTGCTCCTCGATCCTCTCTGGACCTCAGCAGCCAGGCTGCTCCTTCATCTGAGGGCTCAGCAAGGTCCCAGGTGTCCTTGGATCAAGGACACAAGCAGCCGCAGAGCCCTGCGGAGAACCTGGGACAGGCTTGAAGGCCACAGGAGGGGCAGAGAGGCAGGTGGGGTGGGGAGGGTCATTGCTCCTCTGATCACATCTGACTTAAGCCTCATGTCTGCCCTGTGAGTCAAACAGGTGAAGATACCCAGGCTCAGAGAGATGAGCTCACCTGTCCAAGGTCACGCAGTTAGAGGAGAGGCAGATAGAACCAGAATCCAAACATGGACTTGCCAAACTCTAGGGCTAAGATGCTGAGACACAACCTCAGACCACCAAGGTTTGTCTAAAATCTGTGAGAGCCCAGAGAGCGAGAAACTCAGCCTGGAAGGCCTCCTGGAGGCGGAGCCTCTGGCCAGGGCAGGGAGAGTCTGATGAGATTTCTCCTCTCAGAGCTCCAAGTTCTTCATCAGTACTGCAGTACTGAGGTGCAGTCCAGAATCCTGCCTGCGCTGCCTCCACCCTGTGTGAGGGATGGTGGCATGGGACACCCTGGTCCAGCCTCGAGGGATTCAGGCTGATCAGAGATGCTCATCCTTTCCAAGATCTTGGTAGGAAGAGGAAGTTCTAGGGGCCTTGGTCCTAAACCCAGCGGCCCTCAGGCTCAGCTCAGGGACTGGAACCTCTCACACTCTGCTCTTAGCTGCGATCAGGTCTGCCTCAGCCTTGCCCATGGACAGAGGGTGCCCAGGAAAGCCCCCACATCCTTCCTTTAGCTCTGATGCCCAGAGCCCCCACCATGGCCCATGCATGGGGCTCTGGGGACCCAGGTGTCACCATCAATTGTTAATAATCACTACTGTGACAGTCATTTATCCCACTCGGAGCACTTTCATAGGTCAGGGAGCATCTGATACTGTGCTCTGAATGCTCTTTCCCCCACAGCCCCGCCCAGCCAGGGAGCAGTCCTCCAAGCACCTATGAGACACAGGAAGACTCAGAGTGCTGATCTCCCTGAGTGCTGGATCAGGTCCAGAGTACAGGGTAGAGATGTTTTATCTGTACTGGGCTGAGCTAACTTGAAGACAGGTGCATGGGGGTGAGGAGGGGCAGAGCTGACATCAAACAGCAGGCACAGTGGTTTATGAGCGTGGACTCTAGACCAGAGTCTGGTCCTGTGCTCAGGACTTGCCATGTATCACGTATCCTCAGGATCTTTACAGGGAGCCGTCCCTATCCCCTACTTTATCATAGACGAGGGAACTGAGGACCCAAGGAGCTGAAGTGAGGAAGTGACAAGCCCAGGGCACACAAGGGCAAGAACCTTGTCCAGGTGGTGGTGGAGCACAGAGAGAGAGCATGGGAGGAACAGAAGAGCCACCTGAAGCCAAGCTTTCCAGAGGAGGGAGCGTTGATGACAGAACAGCCTCGCCAGAGGGGTCTCTTCCCAGAGTATCAGTGCCACTGGCTGTGGCTGGTTCTGCCCCCAACGAAAAAATAATTTTTTTTAACTGTAAAAGCAGCACATGCTCACTGAAAAAAAGTTTCTGAACTTTAAAGTTTCTGTAACTTTACTGTTACAGAAAAATATTGAGAGGACAGTGAAAAGAGCTCCATACCCAGAGTTCACCACCCTTTAAGCTTCAGCACCAGCCTCCTCCTTTTCTGTCTATATTGGTGATGGGAGGGGTCTCTGCTGGGGAGCACACTTTGTTTTTAACTTGCTTTCAACCCCCTCATATCAATAGATTGTGGACATCTTTTTGTGATCATAATGAGGTTTTCTCTCTCTCTTTTTTAAATGGAGGTACTGGGGATTGAACCCATGACCTCGTGTATGCTAAGCACCCCCCCACCACAGTGAGTTTTAAATTGATCTGTTTTGCAGGTATTTACTGAGCACCTGCACTGTGCCCAGCACTGCGGTTCATGGTGCCCAGTGCATGGAGCTCGGGCTCAAGGTGCTGCGGGTGACAGAGGGACAAGCAGACAGCTGCAGGTCTGGGATGGAGGACCCACTGGCGGGGCTTCCTGGAGCAGAGAGAAAACACCTGACCCAGCCTGGGAGGTGGGAGGGGCATGATCAGGGAGACTTCCTGGGCTAAAGGGCTCGGTGGCAGAAGCTACTGAGTGTTTTCTGATTTCCAAAGGCAGTTAGTTCCCTTTCTCCCTAAACTACATTTCCCATCTGCACTTGCAGTTCAATATCCTCATGTAACTGAATTCTGGCCAATGGAATACGAGCAGAATGACAGCTGATAAGGTTAAGTGGGCAGACCTTCTCTGTGGTCTCTTTTCCCACCTGCTGGATGAATGGGGACATCTCTAAGGATCTAAAGGTGGGCAGGGCCATGAGATAGGAGGAACCTGGGTCTCTGCATCCCTGCTCACCAAACACCTGATTGGATTTCAGGAAAATGACAAACAAACTGCCTTTGTGTTAAGGCTTTTGGAACTTGGGGCTTATCTGTTACAACAGCTAGCATTAGCTAATGCACCTGTTACCCTACAATAAGCCAGGCAGAGAGAAAAGCATGTGCAAAAAGCCAGGGCAATCGAAAAACTAACAAATGTTCAGCCTGGCTGGAGTGTCCAATATGTGTGTGTGTCAGAGGTTGGCTGGGTGTTACACTGTCCAGGTGTGAAGGGACCTGGACCAAGGAGAAGGCTAGGAAGGGACTGGAACCATCTGTAGGCCATGGCATGGACAGCACTGGTGAGTGACAGGGTGTGGAGGAGAGGAGGAAAGAATCCCCCGTTGGGGTGACTGGCTGGCTGGGGGTAGAGCTAGTCCCTGATTAGGGGAGGCTTAGTACTGGGGCAGGTTTAGTGTGGGGGTTGGGGGGTCAAAGTGGGGGTTGGGTTTAGGGCACACTGAGTCCGGGGGATGTGGGAGGCTCGCAGAATGTGCAAAGAGCAGAAGGAGCCCCTGCTTAGAGCACCAGAGGGAGATCTTGGGGGTCATGAGCACAGAGGTGGGAACTGAGGTCAGAGGACGAGCAGGTGAGGAAGGAGAAAGACCCCTGCACTTAGGGGAACAGGGTGGGGAAGAGACCCCCAAGGAGACAAAAGGGCCTCCAAAGCCATTGGCTGCAGAACATTCTGTGGAACCACTGCTCCCGTGAACCATTCACTGGTCGGCAGGCATTCGTACTGTTTGGTGGGCACACAAGGAAACAGGGCTCTGGCAGAGAAGGTGGTGGGGTGAGGGTGTCCTAGGGCTGTTTCCTGTGGCTAGAAGGGAGTCTCATGGGGACACTGGAGAAGACTTTTTTTAAAAGCAGGGCAGAAAGACTGTCCCTACAGTGCTCAGAGCACATATTTGACAGCAACTATTACAGGTCTAAAACCCAGCACTTCTACCTGTGGGAATTTGTTCAAAGAAGAAAATCTAACAAGAGATCTGAGATGAAGCCCAAAGATGTTCACTGTAGTGTTTTAGCAAAGGGGAAAAATAGAAACAGGTATCCAGCAATAGGGGATGGTAGAAAATATATGACATTCATCCAATGGTCTATTTTATACTCATTAAAATGATGTCCACAATTTATAATGACATGAAAAAATACATATACACACACATATATGTACACACATAAATATAGTACACACATATAATTTTGTTTTACAGAGTCTGTATTACTTTGAAAAAAATTAAAATAAAACAAAGATATTTCCATTTTGAAAAACTGCAGTCTGGCTGGAGGAGGAGGGAACTATGACTAGTCTGAACCATGCCCCACCTCGCTGTGTGACCTCGGCAGCCATGCGGCCCTCTCTGAAACTCCATCTCCTAAAGTGGGGAAGAGGCAGCAGGGACCTGGGACAGAGAAGCTGAGAAGTGTGAGCTGCACAGTTGAAGGTGCAGATGGAGAGGGTGGCCCTCAGTCCAGGCACACTGGGGCAGTGACTAGCAAAAGTCCAGAAGCTTCCTCGCTCTGAGGCCCTCTGGAGTGGGGCGCTGGAGTAGAGACGTGGAGGATCACCTGGAGGGGCATTTTAGCCTGCTGGCTGGCAGGACCCCCTCCAAACATGTAGAGAAGCCCTGACATCTTTCCCCCACTGCCGTCTTGGCTGGGGGAATGGCTGCAGCTGGGCATGGGGCCCGGCAGCTAATTAAGAAGAAATCAATGTTCTTTGATGACTCAGAAGATACTTTTTGATCTTGCAACGTCACCTATTTCTACCATTTCAAATGGCAACCACATCTGTATCCTGGACAGACATCCTTAGTGTCACCTGCTAACTCACATGATGGCAGGGAAACTGAGCCTCAGAAACTTGTGGAGGGGCGAAATGGCCCAGTCAGAAACTCCGAGCAAGCCCACAGGTCTGCCTGCTACACTGCTTTGTCCAGGCAAAACCACCACACCTCCAGATGGCAGGTTTCAGTCACCCCAAGTAGCTCTAAATGAGAAGTGGCAAAACACAGGTTAACGGAGAAGTCCGTCCCTGTTCTCTTAGTCAAAATTCCTGAGAACCCGGGAGGTGAGTATGTGGGAGTGGATATTAACCATTCTCTGTACCTCCCAGTATGACTGAAATGTTTTTTAAACAGATGTCATGCACTTGGTTGCATAAAAATATGGAAAGGACAAAGGTCTTCAAAAGGTGCTAAGCACTTGCTATGCACAAAGCCTTGGATCTGCCCACCTGCCTTGCTCATCCTGGAGAGGCTTTGGCTCTGAGTCCTGGCTCCACCACTCCCCAGCTGGAAGACCTTGGGCAAGTGACCTACCTTCTCTGAGCCTCCATTCCCTAACGAATGAGGATAATGCAACTTTCTTGTGGGCTTGAGGTGAGGAGCACATGAGATGAGGCATGCGGAGCCCTTTGCACACCCCCAGATTATTATCCTGACCCTTCTAGACCCACCTGGCAGAAGCGGGACTCCTGGAGGGCCACCCCCTCCCCATCCAAGCATCTATACTTCCCGTGCTCCAGACCCAAGGTCCCTAACCCCCAGATCTCACATCTGAGGAAACCAAGGCACAGAGAGGGAAGGACTTGCCTGGGGTCCCCTGGCAAGTCTGGAAACTGCTGGAATCAGATCTGGGGGTGCCCAAGCCCCACCTCATCTCTGCCCTGGGGCTGGGAGGTAGGTTTCCTCTGAAACCCCACTTCCTCTGAACCATCACTTCTCACCTGGCGACTCCTCTGGCTCCCAGCCTGCTGACCACCGTGGGCACAGTGCTCCATTCTGCCCTCTCAATCTGGAGGAGGATGGGGCTTCTAAAAGGAGTTGGTCCATAGTCCTCGCCCAGTTTGAGGGAAGAAAGAGCCCTTCACCAACCTGCTGCTGTGCCTGGAATTCCACCATCTGTGTGTCATTTTCCCAGGTTAATCATTGCCTCTTGCACCAGGATGGCACACTCAGTCCCTTAGAGCCCAGAGGGAGGGGCCGTAGGGACACATTCCTCCCTTGCTGGGTGACAGGAGGGCATTGGACCCATGCCCTCAAATATCGGACCCATGCTCATCAGACAAGAGGATGCAAGGCAGGGAGGTGTGCTTCTCTGTCCACAGGGCGCTTCCATCAGGCAGGGCTCTGCCCTAGTGACAAGCAGGGAGGAAGCAGCCCGAGGTGGCAGCTGGGAACAGGGCTCCGTTGTCTCTGCTCCCAGGGTAGCAGCCTGCCCACCCCCCGAGTGTCAGGCAGAGCTGGGAGCTAAGCAGGCAAGGGGGAAGGGGTTTGGGGAGTCCATGGCAGCTCCAAGAGGCTAGAACCTCAGAAGGGCAGAGAGGTCATGAGCCAGGCTGGGGTCTTGAAATGGGGGCTGGGGCAAGTCACTGTATCTGGGGTCAATTTAGCCACCTTTGAACTGTGTGACCTTGGGCAAGTCACTGAGTCTCCCTGAACCTGTTTCCCCTTTCAGATAATGGGGTTAGTGACAATGCCTCCTCCACAGGGCAAGGTAGGGTACAGCAGCATAGGGCTGTTCCGGTCTAGCCAAGCCCACAGCCTTACCCTCTCTGGGCCTCAGGTCACCCTCTTCATAAAGGAAGAGGTTGGATTCTCCCAACTGGACTGTCCTCCTGAAGATTTCCATGGCACCTGTCACCTTGGCAACCCAGGGATCAGGTGTCAGGCCTGCGGCCCTCTCTCCCTCCCTCCCACTGGTTAGGGTTACTGCAGCCAGATGTGCACCTATCACCTCTGCTCTAGGCAGGTGGGAAGGGGGTCCCCACTGGGAAGGGATCACAGTGTTGCTCTGTGCTGTTACCAAAATGCTGGCTTGGCACCAAGCGGGGCAGACCAAGCTGGACCCCCTTCCTGGGCACTGGTCCAGGAAACAAGGGAACTGTTGGGTATCCAGAGTTTGCCCCACTCCCACAAGCCTTTCCTTGGTGGCTTTGCCTCCTAAGTGGGACAGCACAGGGTCTTCCCCAGGCAGAAGGGATCCGTCTTTTACCCTGACACCCAGCCCCTGCTCTAACCGCCCCTCTTCTGGGGAGGGCTGGTGGGAAGAGGGAAGATCCCTGCCCCTCCTCCCCAACGGCTCTGGCGCAGTGTCCGAGATTAATCATTAATGAACTCCCAGCTCCAGCCCAGCTCCAGCCCCACCCACCCCAAGTCCAAGGACCGGGTAAACCCTGGAAATAGGAGCCTGGGGAAGAAAACCAACGGCCGGGCAAGGACCAACCTGCACCCTCCCTGGCCCCGGGACGGGCACGCGGACCCTGGAGCGTCCGTGTAGCACTCCCGGACCCCTCAGGTCTGAGGGTCTGGCGTGAGCAGTCCCAGTTCTGGGGCTAGGGTAGCGCGGGCCTGGACCCCAGAGGGTAGACTGAGGCAGGGCGCAAGCTGGTGGAAGGTGCTGGGCTCACAGGACGTACCTTGTCCCCGTCCTTCTCGGGCTTGGAGTGCAGGCTCGGCCCGGCCGCGCGCCGGGCGCTCTAGGCGGCGGGTCGTGGAGTCGGAGACTGAGACGTGACCG